CCCTATTCCTAAATTTAGCCGTTTTTGAAATATTTGGAGTTTTTCAAAAATTTTTGGATTTGCACCTTCCATTTTAAAAATCGGTAACTCTGCCATTTTTTTAAATTTTGTATGTTTTTTTTGGCGTTTGAAAGAGAAAGCTTAGATCCTTTTTCTGGTGTTTTCGAATTTTAAAAAGAAAATTACCAAATCCCAAAATTTTAAGTAGTTTTGTAATAATTCAAATACTCATAACTCAATTTTTTCAAATGAAATACCCCAATTTTTATTTTACTAAATAGAAGAGAATTTAATTGTGCATTGATCTGTATTAACATTCCCTATACCTAAATTTAATAATTTTAATACTACAGAAAATTTATTACTAGCCATACCAGTTTTCACATAGTTTGCTATGGAGATCAAAAATGTCAAAATTTTCTCTAAACAAACGTCAACAGTAAATTACTATTTGACAAATAGTGCCAAAATATGGAGAATCAAGGTTATGCAAACTTAATTATTATTGATAGGTTCTACCATCATTATTTAAAGGTAACAAGTGAGAAAAGTTTATTTTTGTTTAATGAACGATATCATAATTTTGTTACACTCTCCATAAATACAAAATAAATTAATTAAATCTAAGTTTGAGTAGCTTTGACTCTCCATATTTTGGCATTATTTGTCAAATAATAAGTCACTGTCGACATTTATTCAGAAACAATTTTGACATTTTTTATTTCCATAGCAAACTATACGAAAACGTAATAGATTTTCGACAGTCTTAACAAAAAGTCACCATAACTTAAAAATTATTAAATTTAGGTAAAGAGAATGTTAATACAGATCGATACAGAATTAAATTCTCCTCCATTTAGTATAATAAAAATTGGGGTATTTTATTTGAAAAAATTGAGTTATGGGTATTTGAATTATTACAAAAGTAACTTTAAAATTTTATGGTTTGTTAATTTTTTTTTCAAAATTTTAAAACACCGAAAGAAAGATCTAAACTTTCTCTTTCAAACGCCAAAGAAACGAATTCGAGATTTTAAAAAATAGTAGAGTTACCGGTTTTTAAAGTGGAAGGTGCAAATCCAAAAATTTTTGAAAAACTCAAAATATTTCAAAAACGGCTAAATTTAGGTATAGGGAAAGCTGATGAAAACTCTCTTAAAATAACCCGATTAATCCAAAAACGCAGTAAAAAATATAGCTTTCCATTTAAAATAAGAAAGTTGAGACCGACTTCCGGTATAAGCGGAAGTGCCGCCATCTTGAAAATATTTTCATTTAGGAGGACTTAATGGACCAATTTTCAAATAAATACGATTATTGCAACTCCCAATACTTCTAAAGTGGGATTTAGACGGAACAGCCTGTAGATACATACAGGGTGTCCCAGAGCTTCGTATTTCTTCGATTACTCAGACAGTGAAGAAAATAACGAAATGCGTTTTTGTTTGGACGATAGACATTTATTTTTTCTATGGTCCAAAAATATTTTCGTCATTATTGGTAATTTCTATATAGGGTGGCGCAACAAAGTTATATTTTTTCTTATGAAATACCCGGTATATTATGCGCTTATTTGAAAGAGTTTTTAATTCTAAAAATATCCATATTAGGTTTTATGGGTCTATAATGGACCGTTTATCTTTTATGGGCAATTATGAAAAAAAGTACTATTTTTGAAAAATCACAACGGCTTTGCTAGAAAGAAAAAGTGAATAAAAACAATTGCAACCATTTTTACTGCATCTGGTTCTAAATTCTTATGGTAGAAATTTAATCAATCTTTTGCAATTACTGCAGAAAGTAATTGAAGAAATACGGAGCTCTGAGACAGCCTGTATTAAAGAGATGAGAACCGAAATAACTCATCAAATTTTCATAAAATTAATTGTGTGCTTAGGTATCCTTGAAGGAGACCTTTGTTTGGGTTTTTCTACCATATAACTACTTGAAAGGCGCAGGCAATAAACCTTTACGAGTTTCACACCTCGATTAAAGCAAGAAGAAGGATTTTCTATTGAACCTTGACTGTCTTTGGCTCGTTAAAAACATAACAACTTTAAAACGCTATTTTCCTACCTGTTTTCAGTATTTTCAGCTTATTTATGCCTATCTTTTGAATATACAAGGTGTTAAAAAAAGATTGTAAAATATTTAAGGAGGTTTCTAGTATGGACGAAAATAAACAAAAAAGTTTTAATAAACGTGAATCCGCAAAGTAACGGTTTCAGAGATACCGAATGTGAAAGTATTGTGAAAAGACTGCAAATAAATGTTTCAACAAAACGAAAATTTTTTGATATTTTCAAAATTTATGTTTGTTTATTACTTTTTACATTAACCATTTCTTTGTTGCATTTTTTAACGTTAGTTTTGTTACTACTTGTATTTTGTTCATATTTATATTTTTTCATAGTTTTTGTCATTATTTTACTTGTCTATTCTTTTATTATGTTGTACTGTTTCTATTTTTTTTATTTATTTTATGTTTATTAATGATGACTATTGTTTTGTTTAATTTAGTAAAATTTTTGCTTTTGTTTACTTTTTGCTACTATTTATAAATTTGTGTTGGTGTTTATTTCTGTTTTTATTTCTAGTCACTGTTTTAGTTTCTATGACATTTTTTAAGGTTTTCTTTACGATTTTTTTGATACTTTTGTTTTTTTCTGAATCTATACATACCAAGTGAATAAAAAGCTTAAATTATTTATTTTTGAAAAAACTAATTAAAGAATAATGAAGTACTATAAAAATGTGATGTTTTGCTAAAGAAAAATTAAAAAAAAAAATTTGTTTTTGAGTTCTACAAAATTTTTTTTTTTTTAAATTTTGACCTACTATGAAACCAGTTTTCTTATGATTACAACTATCTACTTAAAAAAAAAACATAAATTGTAATTTTGACAAAAAAAGCATAACTCAAATAGAAAACAAAATTTCGTTCTCACAATATTCTATATTACTTTAATTCATATTAATTATTTTTTTCTGTAAGCAAACGATAAAAAACCCTTCCATATTTCCATACTTTATATCCAGCCTGTATCATTATTATTATTTCCTAAATTTGAATTTTTTTCTTTTCAATAATTGTTTTAGTTTATTTTAAGTTTGGGTTGGTGTTTATTTTGCTTTTGTTTGTCGATTTTAATTTTTTTGTTTAATTTTGTAAAATTTTTGTTTTTGTTTACTTTTTGCTACTATTTATATATTTTTACTTTTTTATTTTTTAAATTTGTGTTGGTGTTTATTTCAGTTTCTATTTCTAGTCATTGTTTTTGCTTCTATAATTTTTTTTAATTTTTTTACTAATTATTTTAGAATTTTTTTGATCCTTTTTTGTATTTTTTTCTACTAATACTAATACTACTACTAATAATAGTACTATAAAAATGTGATGTATCAAGAATAAACTTTTTTAATTTTTGTTTTGTTTTTGAGTTCTAGAAAATTTATGTTTTTTTTGTGTTTTCAACTTTGTTTTTTAGCTTTTTCAGCTCCCTTTTTTCTGTCTTGCTTTCGGTTTCGCTGATTATTTATGATTTTTGTTTTACTTGTCTCTATTCTTATAGCTTCATTTCCGTTTTTTGGTTGTATCATTTTTAAGTTAATTTTTTTAAAGCATTTCAGTGACTGAAATTTGAATTTATGTTCTCAACTTCATTTTTTCGCTTTTTTGTTTTCCGTTTCGGTGTTTTGATTTATGTTTTCCCATTGTTTCAGTTTTTTGGTTTCGCAAAGCATTTCAGTGCCTGAAAAATTTGATAAAATCTTTGTCTTAACCTTGTTTTTGAGTTCTACAAAAATTTTAATTTTTTAAAACCATTTTTCTCATGAAGGTAATGATCTAAGGATTACAACTTAAAAATTTTGTTTTACATAAATTGTAATCTTGACAAAACACATCACAAAAAAACAAAATTTCGTTCTTAAAATATGATCACACTTTTTTATATTACTTTAATTCATGTTAATTATTATTTTCTGGGAGCAAATGATTAAAAAAAAACCTTGGTTCCATACTTTATATTCACCCTGTGTAATTATTAGTATTATTACAATTTCATAAATTTGAATTCTTTTATTTTT